GAAAATGAATTATTCAGAATTTGGATATTTTTCCAATTGAGAGGATTTTCTCTCTCTAGGTTCTTAGGAACTACTTTTGATTCTTATCCTTGAATTTTCTAATTCAAAGTGGCGAATCTTCCTCAACTTATCAATCTTTAGGGATTGTGGCGTTGTTCTTCCATTTCTTACCTCAATCCATATTTTTTTCTTTTAATTTCTTAATTATGAGCTTTCTAACCTAGATAGATCCGTCTGGGCAGACCATCCCTACGGCCAAATTCCGGTAAGAACATGTATAAAAAAATATTAAATGTTAAAAGCAAATAAATTATATAATTATGAGAAATATATACTGATAATCAATAATTAATTTTTGATTCGTTAATGATAAAGGGTTGATTCGTTAATGATGAAGGGTTGATGATGTATGACTATTTTTCAATTTACGAGAGATTTTTTTTTGTTGTTCGTCAACATAATTAAAATTAAAAAATATTATTTTTTATTAATAAAAAATATTACTTATTTAAAAGTTATTTATCTTTAAATAATTTTTTGTGTCATATTATCATAATTCAATAAAACTTACTAATAGGTAGTTATTTATTAATAAGATACATCACAAATATTTTTTTTATTGCAACCATTCATATATATTCTTATCAGCAACTCACTTTTAACCAAAATTACACACATGCAACAATCAAATAACTCAAATAATCAAATCCCTCTTTCACATGCATGCACCAAAATTTAATAAATCTCAATCATTCAATTCGAAATCAATCATAGGTGAACAAAAAGTAACATTCAACTTCATTCAAGCAACTAAAACATATTATAGCTTCTCTTGTGTCAACTCCAAGCAAAGATAGGAACACATTAAAACAATACTATAAAAGAAATAAAAAAAAATCATATAAAAGAAATCTTCTTTTCTTTTACGCATAATAATGATGAGAAACACATTAAAGCAATACCATAAAAGAAATATTCCCTCCGTTTTTCATTCATAGTCGTTTAAGGTTTTGCACAAGACTTAAGAAAATAATTGATATTTTAGTTTTCAAAAATATTTATTACTTACTTTCATATTCTACCCTCTATTTTTTTTATAGTATTTCGTTGAAAACATATTGTCCTTTTAAATGTAACATTAACTTTACATAGGTAGTTGGAGAAAAAATAGGTAAACATTAGAAATAAATAGGCATATTGTTCAGTAAACATACATTAATTATTAAGGGTAAAAATGAAAAAAAAAATTAATAAGTCATTGATTTTAGTAAAATGACAATGAAAAAAAAATGAAAAATTCTGACAAAACGACTATGAATAAAAAACGGAGGGAGTAAAAAAAGATCACATGAATTTATTTAATGTGGTTCAGTCCATCATATCTATGTCTACAATGATATTTATTATCTATCCCAAAATGTATTACATTTATATTTGAAAATCTTCCTTTTAAGTTTTGCAAGTGAAACTTGAAAATTCTTTTCCTCATAAATTTTAAGAGTGAAACTTGAAAATCTCTCTTTCACAACTTTTCTAGTGAAACTTGAAAACCCGCTTCACAAGTTTTTTGGTAAAACTTGGACACCCTCTTTTACAAGTTTTCTAACAGAACTTGAAAATCCTTATTCATATGATCTCTTCTCTCATATAAGGCACTAACCTCCTTTATAGGTCGAGTGATTCTTCTCCTCTTAAAAATTTTTATTTATTGACCTTATATCATAATCTTAAAAAGGAAAATAAGTTTTTAAAATAAATATAGTATATTTTAATTCTAAATAATATTCTAAAAAAAATTAATATCTTTTAAAATTTAAATAATATAAAAAGATTTAAATTTGAAATATTTTCTGAGAGTTATTAACATTACTCATCTGGTAAAGTGAATCGTGCAACATTTACCTTTACTGATTTATATGAGTAGTGTATTATGCCCTCTGCTATTCACTCTGCTACTTTAGCTAGAAATAGAGAAAAAAACCATGAATGGAAAGAGTTAATGAAGTGTTGGTAAAATAATGGACAAGAGAGAAAGGAAAAGCATGTGTGAGAGAAAGAGCTAAGGAAAACAGTTACGATACTTAAATTTGACAGAAACCTTCACTTTCACAGTTGCCATTACACTTATTACCATGAGTCTCTAACATCACAAATCTTATTTTCTTTTTTTCTTTTTTTATCTCATTATTGCAACAAAAAGAAAAAGAAAAATCTAGCCGTCAAGCATGATGACATTCCAAGTAATTATTCCTACAATCTTATTAGAGAGAAAGGCACACACTACTCAGAGGGAATAAAGATGATGTGGAAGTCTAGGCTGGACAACAGTCTCCAAAGGTATCTTCTTAGGTGTAGACAAGCCAAAAATCTCATCCATATCCAACTCCTCACTTTTAACACCATGAGGCAATCTCCAGTTAAAACCATGCAAAAGGTTGGCCAAACTTGACTGAATGACCTTAAGGCCAAGAGGGTAGCCAGGGCACATCCTTCTGCCAGCACCAAATGGCAACAACTCGTAGTCATGCCCTCTCACATCAATCTCCTTACCAAGAAACCTCTCTGGTTGGAACTCTTCAGGGTTGTCCCAGATTGTAGGGTCTCTTCCAATACTCCACACATGCACAAGCACTTGGGTGCCTTTGGGGATGTCATAGCCTCCAACTTGGCAGTCCTCCCTGGCTAGCCTTGGCACCAACATTGGTGCCACAGGGTGCAGCCTCATTGCTTCCTTCGCTATGGCATTGATGTAAGGCAAATTCACAATGTCCTTCTCTTCAACCCATCTCTCTCTCCCTATTACTCTGTCTAACTCATCTGTTGCTTTCTTGAAAATCTCTGGCCTTCTTAATAGCTCAGAGATTGCCCATTCCACTGTTACAGCTGAACTCTCTGTCCCACCCGCTATCAGGTCCTGATCAATTCATTCACACAACTGAGTTGGTAAGAAAATATATCATATAATCAGATCCAAGCTAGTTTGCTACTAACTATCTTATTGTCTTAATAACTATGTATGATTCAAGTTATTATTAGCCGTCCAATGACTAGGGACAGAACCCAAAAATAATGTAATTACGATAAGATTATTTATTCATTTAGCTAAATAAAACGAGAAACGAAAAATGTTCTTATATTAGACTGGAATAAGTTGGCCCCACAAAGAGATAACTTTTTTTTGTTCTTTCTTTTTTATAGTTTCTCCCCGTGTGACTAATTTCCGTTAGAGACACTTTAAAAGATAAGATAGTTAACCCCAAGAATTAACGCAACTGCATACACGAGGCAGGATTTGACGATTCAACCCCACAAAGAGATAATGATCTTGATTCTTGTGATCTACCGAGCAACAAGCAAGGCTGGCTGGATAGACTTAAAAATTTACATAACAAAAAGAAAGACTTTGAAATTCACAACTATAAGTCATAATTAATCAGTAATAGTGACAGCAGTATTATGTAGATCAAAAATAAATTTCAAACTGCAATACTTTTTTCAGTATATTTTCTTTCATTAATTAAAATTTATGGAAATTTGAAAAATTTTGAAATGAAATTTATGAAACAAAGAACAGGACCACAGATATTTAATAAAACTTACTTAATTTTATTCAATAGAAAAGAGTAATATATCATAAAAAAAGAAGATAACCATGATTTAATGGAGGAGTAATATGAGGCCGTCAATATCATATACGTAATTTATTTGGAGGAAAATGCGTGCAAGTTGTATCATGGATATTTAATGAAGTAAACATATCCGGATGGTGTTACTCGTGGGCATTATTCATTGGATGATGGAGTAAGAAGATAGCAGCATGTGGTTAAAAAAAGTAAGAAGAGAAAGAGAGAGATAGTATAATATAATAGTAATAGTGTAATAGATAGGGATACCTGTGTAAAAGCCTTGACCCCATGCCTCTCGAGCTTGACCTCGAGAGTGGGATCCTCGGCAAGGTGAAGAAGCACGTCCACCATGTCTTTGGCCACGTAATCCTTGACCCCTTTCTTCCTCTCAATGTGTTCATCCAACACATGCTCCATAAAACGATCAAACTTCTTGCTCAAAGCCTTCATCCTCTTGATGTAGCCCTGAACGTCCAAGAAATTTATACAGGGAATGAAGTCCCCAATGTTCAAAACCCCGTTAAGCAAAAACAACTCATCAAGCATCTTCTTAAAGTCCTCGGGGGAAACGATGGCGTTTTCGGATTTTTGGAGGTACTTCTTCCCCAACACCATGCGGCTTATGACGTTGAGGCTAAGGTTGGAAAGGTGGTCCTTCAACAGAACGGTTCTGTTGGCGGAGTGGAAGAGTTCGTTGAGAACAGCGCGTAGCTCCTCTTTTCTAATGTACTCGTACTCCTCCAACCGTTTCGCGCTGAAAAGCTCCATCAGGCACATTCTACGGGCCTGCCGCCAGTATGGGCCGTATTGGGACCACGTTATGTCCGAGTAGTTGTAGGTCGTGTATTTGCCTGCCGAGAATCTGGGCCTGCCCGCGAGGCTGACGTCGTGGGTTTTCAGGATGGCCTTTGCCATTTCCACCGAGGACCCAACCACGATTGGGTTGGACCCGAACCACACGTGCATGAGGGGCCCGTATTTTTTGCTGAGGGAGTCGATGGAGCGGTGCGGGAGGGATCCTATCAGGTTCAGGTTGCCTATGATGGGCCAGGGCTTTGGGCCCGGTGGCAAGTTGTATCTGCGGCGGCTGAGGCGCCGGAGAATCAGGAGGAGGACGGCCAAGCTTGCCAAACATGTGGCGGCGGTTGCCAGCCAGTTGGGGAATGTTAATTGAGTTGCCATGTTTTGAGTGAAGACAAGTGTTGTGTTGTGTGTTGTGTGTTGTGAGTTGTGGCTAGGCAGTGGGTATTTATGTACAAAACATGGCAATAGCAGCACACGACTAATGCTTCTATGGTCGGTCCCAGTGGGCTCCTTATATTACATTTCGTGAACCACGTGCTTCCTCTCCTTTACTTTCATCAAATAAATATATAGGAAGAGTTAATTACTTGTGTAAAGTTTTTCACACCATAATCCATCATAACTTTTAAATTATTTTATTTATTAAAAAATATAAATATTTATCAATTTCACTTTTTATTTTAATATTAAATTTTGTGCATTAGAAAACGTGTTCATACTTGATAGGGATCTTCGATTATTTATTTTTGTTTATTTTTATTCATACCGTACAACATTACTGTGTATTATTCTCTTTATTAACTTTATTGTCGCATTATTTGTCTTTCAATAATTCATATACTGATCGATGTATATATTAAAGTTATTTTATATTTATTAAAATAACAATCAATGTATATAGTATAGTTTTACATTGATCGTCATTTTAATTAATATAAAATAATGTTTTTAATGTCAGTTCAATGTTATCTAATTTAAAATCTTTTCATTTTTTTTTATGAAATTGTCACCGAGCTTTTTTTCTTTAATTTTTAAAAAATTACTCTTTTTTTTTTTTTTTAATTTTTATAACAGTGAATAAAATAAACAGCAGGTATTTGAGAACAAGCATTAATATTTTGTCAATGTAAAAACTTGATGCTGACTCTCTCGCTGTATTTTGTAAATATATTTTTTGATATTATGTACGCACTTTTTTTTAACATTTAAATAAGTGTATTAATGTATGAGTCTATCACCACTTCATTTATTGATCTACGACTGTTACTAATAACTTTAAATTATAATTTTTCAAAATAATTTTATTTTAAAAATTTATATTAAAGAATTTAACTAATTTGATATGACACGAGTGATTAGGAACTAACATGTTTAACAAAGTGATCGAATTTAACTCTTATAAATACATAAAAATTTAAGCTGAGAAAAGATTCTCACTTACTCACTCTCGTATTAAATCCCAAATTCCTTGATTGATATTCATTAATTACTCTTACTCACTTTTTTTCTTCTTTTTCAATTTTACTTTGAATATTATTTTTAATCATGATATTCATATAAAATATTCTTTGTCACAAGTAGTGATCAGTCTTTAAAGATATTTTATTTTATATTTAAATTCTATCCAACTTGGTTCAATTGGCCTTTAAATATCAATTTATTATTATACTGTTCATTGTTTTAATTGAGTAATTATATTTAGTTTGGAAAGCTCATGTTTTGTTTTTCTATAGTGGGTGCATGTAAATCCGTAGGTATTAGGAAGGAGGGGTGTGGGATGAATCCACATTGAAGATGAGACCTAATATTTTATTCCCTTGTATTCTTTCTAAGAAGGTTGGATTGAATTTTCCTAATTAAAGACTGAAGCTAACTTTAGAGTCAAAATTCTGAGATGAAGCCTCCTAGCTACTAGCTAAATTACTCTCTAGTAGTGGACGGATAGAAAAAATCTCTTTCACTCTATTGGGTGGAACTTTGCCATTAAACTTCGTGAATAACGTTGCCTTTTGCAAAGAAATTTATGATCAAAAGTTTATGAAACCTGCTAATTAGTGTCTTAAAAAACGTAATCTTATATTATCTTATAATTTTTAGCAAAAACACATGTGGGTTTTTAGACCAGTCTTTGACAAAATTCTTATTTACTTTGGTAGATGCAAAGCATTATGTATGAATATGTAAGAATGAAAATTTGATTCCACAAAATTTGGAATGGTTATAGAGGTCTACAAGCAGGTTCTTGCGAAAGCGACGAGAGTGTGGTTGTTGCATAGACATGACAATAAATTGAATCGACTCTTTTCGCCTTTTAAAAAGTGATTCAACAAGCAATATTGTAATAATTGACTACAAAAACTTTCCAATTGCTACCCTGAATTATTGAGTAATATAATATACAGTTGGTAACTTGGCTCTTTCTGTGAAATTTCATTATTGACTTGAAATCGATCCTTTTAGAGTCAAGGTCCTATCATGGTTGGTGTGAGTTGCAGGAAAAGATCTTTTCCAAAAAATTAATTATAAATAAGGAAAATTTATTTTTATTATTTAAATTAATTATTTTTCCTAATTTTGATGAATTATATATTTATATCTTATATATAAGAATGAGATACTATGTAATGGATTTTTATTTTATTTATTTTCCATACCATTTTTCTAATTCCGACCCCAGTGATCATAAAATTTTATTATGCATATATAAATACATTCACATAAATAATAAGTTCAAATTTTCACTTATTTCCTTAGTTTAGTATAAAAACTAAAAAACTAGGTCAGCAACATCATGGAAACAACTTGGTTTCTGGGACATGAATGTTAGGGCAAATATATGAAGGGGACGGCATCAACCACCTCTCTTATTAGGGCAATTTTTTTTTTCTTCTGAAAACTCTACGTTTCTCAACACGTAATTAACATAATTTATTATTATTTAATGGCAACTCGTGCAAATATTGAAAAGAGTAAAAGCAAGTCACATAATCAGTAACTTATGTGAGTTACTTTAACTTTATTTACATTTTTTCCCATCAAGTACAAAAATAATATGATTTTCATTTAATTTTTAATTGAGTAAATATTCTGAACATTACAATTATGTAATTTATTTATCTATCAATTTTTTGTTAAAACTGTATCTCCTTTTTATTGACATATAACACTTATAAATGATGCAAATATTGACATTACTTGATGATATTATTAGTATATTGATAATATTATTAGTATATTAATTTATTATTTTATAATATTTTCAAATTATATAATTTTAGAAATATTTGAATTATACAAATTATAATATAACTGATGTTTAAATAATGACATTGATTTCAAAATGATATTACCTCCTTTATACTTTATTACATGGGGTGGCTTATAATTAATATGTTAAAGATCTATGTTGTTTCTAGTTTTTTTTACAAATGTATGCAATCGTCTTAAATTTTTGAGTCAGTTATGGGTGCTTCTAACATAGCGAGAAAATTAGTCATTGTTATTGACAGTGAATACTCCAAGGACAAACAAAAAAAAAAAATTCTTATCATTATATACTTTATGCCACATTAGAAAATCGGTGGGTAATTTTATAAAAATTAAAATTTTTTAGTTTTAAATAAATTTTAACAAATATATATATATATATATATATTTTTTTTTTAATTTTAGTCTCTTAATTTTTAATTTCATAATTTTAATCTTCAATTTTATGAAATTTATAATTTTGGTCCCTTTTTGTTACATATACATTCATTAATAAAATCGTAATGTTTGTCGTTGCTTAACATTAGATAAATGATAATATAATTAATAAACATGTTAAATTATATTTTTAGTCCCTATTTTTAATATATTTTTATATAATTTTTTTATAAATAAGATAAAAAAAAGACTAAAAGTGAAATTTAGATAAAATATTATTAAATATTAGTAATTATATCTTTTTCTTTCATGATTAATATTATAATTTTAATGATTAAAAGATGAACATTTAATGAGAAAATTAAAATTATGAATTTTATAAAATTAAGAACTAAAATTACAATTAGATATAAAATAATCAAAATTTCATACTTAATATTATGAGAGGAACAAAATATAATTTAATATATAAAAAATATTAAAAGAAATATTTTAAAGAGTATTATGAGCGCTTCTTATTTTTCAGCCACATATTTGCGTCTATCCTATTTTTGTTCACCTTATTCCTTATATAGTGACCAAACGTAGTGGTAGTTTTTTGTCCCAAGAAATTCAAAGTTGTTTTTTTTTCTCTTGTGAGATGAAGTTTTGCAAAAGTTTTTTTTTCTAGGTAAAATAAAATATATTAAAATGAAGTATAATGAGTACTCCAACTATAAACAATTACAAGAAACAACAAAAAATAGAGAGATAAATACAACCTCTTTAGTAACTTACGAGGTATAACTAAGAAAATTAAATCAAAAAGTAATCCAAAACAAACGAAGCCAACCAAAACAACTAAGAAAACATAAAACTTACTCCATAATCTCACTGTCCAGCAGACGAACATAATAACGAGAAAAAAAAAACATTTCTTTCTTGACTGCACAAGGGAATAAAAATCCAAAATTCAAGTCGCACATCGACTAAAAATAAGATAATTAGAGTATAAAAGTAGAGGGCATAAAAGTTATGAATCCTTTATTAAAATTTTAGTGGCAATAGTAAAAATTCAATAAATAGGTTAAACATTTAAAAACTAATGGAAGTGTATTGGATTGGGATTTCGAAAGACTATTTTAGCATGAAAAAAGTCTTGTGGATTTTAATGGATTTTAAAAGACTTTGAAAGAATGTCATGACTTTTAAAAAAAAATTAAAAGATTTTTAAAACATGAATTTTAATTAGGACTTTATAGTTTGGATTTTAATGGATTTTAACGAATTTTGATGGATTTATATCATAAGATTTTAAAGGAATTTATGAATTTCATGGAAAAATATGGATTTGTAAAATACATTTAATGCTACAAGAATTAATAAAAAATAACATAAATAATAAAGAAAAGTAAAACCAACATAATTTTTTTCTATCGTTTAACAAATAATTCGTTCAATGTTTTGACAAATAATTGACTTTAATGTCCTTCCAACTAGCATTTCTCCATATATCTAAAGTTATACTAGCTTCAATATATTCTTTTTCATGCTCTTGAGTTTGAACAATATGTTCAAAATTATGGCCTTCATTAACTAGTGGCACCGAAGCTAAAGATTCATCCACCTATTCAAGTAGAAATTCATCAGAACGACATTCTTTGTGAAGAAAGTTATGTAGTGCTACACATGCTAATACAAGTTCAGCTTGTGTCTAAAATATAAATGGAGGCATTGACTTAAAAATTATGAAGCGTGATTTAAAAATATCAAACATTCTTTGATTGTTATTACCATGGTCTGTAAAATCT